GGTGTAGCTGTATTAAAGGCCGAGTGGAAATAGTCCTGATTAAATCAGATTTTGTCAGAAATCGGGAGAAATGCGGGAGAAATATGACCCCGGGAGGAAACCGGGAGAGGGCAATGAAATCGGGAGTCTCCCGTGAAAATCGGGAGGGTTGGCAAGTATAGCCCCCATTGTTCTGTGTGTCAAAATGAAAGACAGCCCACACACCTATCAATCATCAAACCGTGGGGTCTTATTTCATTACGTGTTGATTTCCATCAACATGTAATGTTGTATCGATGTATAGAGATGTACTACAGCAAAAGTATTCTCCGTCGGGACTTCCTGCAACAACACCACGCCGTTATCGTGATTCTGATTGGCCAGAAGAAATTATCAAAGATGTTCTATTGAGAAGACGATCACTACGTGACAAAAGTTTTCAAAGCCGTCTCTAGTCTTCGGTATTTCCAGACAAGTGGCTACTGAAATCAATCTTACTAACTGCTGTCTGTGCAATTTACTCCGCGCGAGTTGGCGGACTTTATTTTGCTTACTTTAACATCATTGTTCATGGTGGGGCTAAGCCATTTCTTGGTATGGCTGTAGCCTACCCCAGCCATACCCTGACCGCAAATACCTCATTCCTTCCGTCTACTTGGATCCGAAATGCTTCTCGTTTTGCGCTGTCCCCCCATTCAAATGAAATCACCACCAAATCATATTTCCACGCTCGTGCCAGGGGAGGGGTTACAAGGCTCGCGTCTTGTGCTGCATTCACTTGCACTCGGACATTAGAGATTTTCTCTCATAAATGTCCGATGAGCCACAACTTTTCTTTCAAAACAAAGCTGCCAACTGGGATGGCAGCTGGGGTGGCAAGGTATTTTTCTGAGGTGGCAGCTGCCCCGTAGAACCGCCACTGGTTAGGTACCAAGCAGTAAGGCAATAAACTGGGATTTGATTTACCCAAAAATCCCAATAAACATTATAAACCAAGAATCTTTCATAACTAGGCCTATTAAAGACGTCAACAGAATATACCTCAAATAAATATAACAGCTGTTAACTCAACAAACCGACCTGTCACCATGACAAAACAAGGGGCATACTGTGGCTTGGCCAAACCACATAGAAAACAAGGGGTAATTAACTTTAACAGAATACAAAAGGACACTGACAAAACCTAAATCCCCCCTTTGACATAAGCATGTGGTTTGTCCCAATTGGCTGCTTGCAGTATGTCATCAGCCCTCAGTCACATATTTTACTGGACCAGGAAGTAACCTCCCCCAACAACCACGGTGACTCAAAGACAAAGAAAGTCAAACAAATACTTGTGCTGGCTGTGCTAAAATGGGTGAAATTGTACCTGATAATGTCAGGTTACAAGTGAATAAAGAGTTTACCATTTCAATCAAAAGTGTGGTGTTAGTATGTTTTACTGCAACTGAAATGAAGCAAAACTACTGAGGGTGCAGTGTGTTTCACCCTGTGTGTCTGTGACCATCACACTGACATCATCAACACTGCCTAGTGGCCTATAGATAAGATGTACTTTTTTGTTATGCTGTTGCAGCAGCATACAACAAAACAAGGAATTGCACATAATAACAAATTAAAAGAGTACAAATAAACAATTCTAAAATAGAAACATCTCAACATAGAAAGAGAAATAAACCAGCATTAGAGAGTATACCAAATGTAGGAATCAATAAAATTCTCAATTTCTGAAAAGTGCAACACTGAAACTATGGAAGCTCTTGGTGCGTTCCTAAACTGAAATTTCACATTTACACACTGATTGTGGAACCTTTCACACACATAATATTGAGACAAATCTACCTCCATACCAGAGATGTTCACAAGTCTTTTTTTGCAAGTCCAAGTCAAGTCTCAAGTCTTTGTGGGGTGAGACTTGATCAAGTCTCAAGTCTTTGGTCACGAGTCCAAGTCAAGTCTCAAGTCTCTAAAAAATAAAAGTCTCATGTCTCTTCTGGTTGTAATAAGCCTTCTATTGTCTGCTGCTATCCAGTCTGTTAAGAATACTGCACAGCTATATCTAAGACATTCAAAGCATTTACTGTATTATTATCACTCCTATATCTATTAGCATACAGTATCAGTACTGATTAGTTGTTTGTTATATGATCACTTTAAACAGGCTATTGCAATGCAATATGAGGAAAAACATCACACTTTAGCTAAATGCAAACAACTTGTAAGCAAAACACTTCAGAATCAGAAATCAGTATCACAAATACTTTATTAATCCCCCGCAGGGAAACTGTGTTAAAAGTAAACATTTGTTCTGTGCCATTTGCAACTAAAAAACTATTGCTGCAATATTATCTGAAATATACTGAACTGGTGATATTAAAACATGACCTGTTCCAAAAGAGATATCTACCATTAACACCATTTACCAGCCAAATGCTGGTAAATCATGCAAGTGGCTGGTACTGTATGTTGCACGCACCAGCCAAACATAACAATGGCAATCTATTGAGTGGCTGGTAACATTTCAACATTCACTAGGCTAGCCATTTGGCCAGTGGACAAAAATGTTAAAATTGGACCTCTGCAACCGTATTGTTTAATTACACTGGGTCTCTAATGACATCTTTTAAGTCTACTATAAATAAACATATTCCTCTATCCTCTCACTCAAACCCAGTGTAATGGTAACCCGATAAACCTGTAACATTAACGTTACGTGGTCAACAATAAACCTGTAACCTGCCTATAAACCGACAGATGTATTTATGTATCTAACTATGTATTTTTCTACGTTTAACGTTAGCCAGTAGATGGTAGCAGCGGAACGTAATGATTAACGTTACCGACCTTTTTTATGTCATGTCAAGAGTTGGATGTCAACGCCACTCAACGCAAACAAGTGTGACAAGCAAACATTCACTCATCTTTTCAAATATTCAGTTACAAAGCTAGTAGCAAGCTAAGTTAACATTACATAGCTGATGCTGAGCTAAACATGTTTGCTAAGTTAACCGTCCATATGCGTTAATGTGACTGACCTCTCCGGGTGAGTTTTCAAGTGCCTGATGAAATTTGACGTTGTTTTACCAGCATCCTTGATTTTAATATTGCAGACTTTGCAGTGTGCGCTCCTTTTGTTGGTGCCGCCGGCGTTTTGTTCGAAGTGTTTATAGTTGAACCTAATTACAAGCGGTACAGCTGCAGGTGTGCCGCCGGTCGCCATGGTGTTACCATGATGTTAATGTTAATGTTAAAGGTGGGGTAGATACGTTTGAGAAACCGGCTCGAGATACACTTTTTGTTATATTCCATGGAATGCTCTTAACATCCCGATAGCCGGTCCGGCTAAAGTAACAGAATGGCCTACCTGCCTGTCAGCCTCCCATCGGGGCACAAACTTATCTCGTGCCCTCATTGGTCATGTAGGAAGTGGCAGATTTTCTCCGGTTGTGTATTTTCTAATTCTAGCGATCTTGAGCTGGTTTCTCAAACTTATCTACCCCACCTTTAATACGCCAAAAATAGAAAAAACAATGATTGTTCACGAGTCCCAAAACACGAGTCCAAGTCGAGTCCGAAGTCTTTTGAGCAGGAGTCCAAGTCAAGTCTGAAGTCTCTGTGTGTGCGACTCGAGTCCGAGTCACAAACTCGAGTCCCCATATCTGCTCCATACACATGTGACCATGAAGATTGACTGTTTGGCTGAAATGTATATAAAGTCAAGTAGAATTAAGAACCAGCACTTCTTTCGGTTGCATCGTCAAAGTGTAATATGATTAACTTCTCTGTAATTTAAAATAATGCACTCAGGCAAAATTGAATTATTTCCCCCTACCAACCAAACGAGCAGCACCAAGGCAAATATGACCCAATACACAATGTACATTTCAGAAGAGATTTATTTAATTGGAAAGAGGATTGTATAGTTATAAAATTAATTTATTTGACATTGTGCGCAATAGGAGGGTTGAAGGTTTATGAGAAGAGTCTTTGGCAATTAAACTACATCGTGACATTAGTACTTTAATTGGGAAATGAGGCCATGAGATGTACAGAAATAATACACTGATGGATTTAAAATTGTAATCCATGAAGATGATTGCCCCTCAGCGGTAGTGACGAAATGCATGGATGGATGGATTGAAAAAAAGGATAGATACTGTAGCTTCATTCACTGCTGATGTGTGAGTGCATTCTTGTTGTGACACACAAACACAAAAAGGGACTACCATTCGAGCATGAGTTTAAAATAAATTAATTTGACTTTGTTTGTTTAGAAAAAACTGAAACAAAAGCACATCACAGCAACAAGGCTGTCGGCAAGGTCTACAAAGTGAAGCATCTGCATAAACATGTGTTACCATTCTCATACTTGCATGAAACATAAAATATCCAAAAGTAAATGAACCTGAAAACACACTGACTAACAATATTCAGTCCACATACTGTCCACAACTCATTGAGGTGATTACACTATTGGTATAAGTCCATATTATCTAGCAGGTGACTTACTGTTTCTCATGACATACTGACAAAGCAATACAGTATAAATGTAATATCTGAATTAACACTTTCAAGTTTTTTCACTTTCACATTCATTATATGTCTCTGTCGCGACTTTTATACATATTTTTATCACTTTAATTTATGTTAAAATACAGAATCACTAGCAAATCACTGTAACGTGGCTGCATACTTTTGGCTAGGTCTAATAAGTGATGCCTTTAGCTGTTGTGGGTTTCACCTAAAGGACCCCTGGGCTGCCCTCTGTGCCTGTATGAGCTTTACTCCTTGTAACTTGATCTACTAAATATCATGGATGGCATTGCCCATGAACATTCATCAGATTATAACAGGTAAATGATCTATACAAAATAAATAAAGTGCTTTTACAACAGAATACAGAAATACATGTCAATAAACATTCTGGTTCTCGGCCTGATATTACTGTGGGTTTCACACTGTGCATGTGGTGATGTGTCACATTGATAGTAATGGCAGTTTCTCCAAACATTGTGTTGCAGGTTACCCACGGTATGACATCATTGGAGACCACAGTAAAGGAGAATACCACCTCCTGATCCAGCGAACAGAGATTCAAGATGATGCTTTCTTCGAGTGCCAGGCCATCCAGGCGGCCATCAGGTCCCGCCCCGCCCGCCTCACTGTGCTGGGTATGTCTCAACTCCTCAATGCATGATCCATGTATTTGGTTTATCTGTTTCCTGTTTTACTTTGAAATGTTTTATCTCCCTCTGTAATGTCTGTTTTTACTCCCTGTTTTGATTGTCTGTCCTGGCTGCTTCTATTGTTTTTCCAGCCCAGTCTAGATTGGATTTGGTAGCCGCTGCAGCCTCTTGCGTTGCAGTCAGTGCTAGCCATGCTGTTAACATTCAAACGGTCCTGTGTAACCAGAATTTGTAACATAACGTGACAATGTTGCTAAGTAACAAAGTATAAACTGTATACTCATATACTGTTTCGATGTACACAACGTGGCACACAAGAAAAACAAGCTACAGATTGTTTACCATGCTTCATAAATGCATGGTGTATTCATATTAAAGATTAATTCATATTACCGCGGCTCTGCATAACTCTGTGAGTTATATTTAAAAAGCACTATTTTCCTCTACTTTGAAGAAGATGCTTTATGAAGCGACTGTAGCTGTCAAATACATGTTTTGCAGGATGAAATAGCCGCTGGTGATTCTGTCATTATTTTTGATGTTTTTGTCATGCGGTATTTGCCGTAGTCAGATCTTACCTGGGTTGGAAAAACTAGACGCGTCCTTAGCAGTTTCATCTGTTCCCCATCGACCCTGCAACCAGCTGACCTCCTGTACGATTGCATTTTATGATTAGTTCTGCTTGTATTTAAGTCCGTTTTTTTGTTGACCGTTTTTGTTTGTCGTACATCTGAAAGTTTGGTTCTCCTCTGCCTTGCCTAGAATAAACCTTTCATGCATTTTCTGTGAGGAATATCTCCTACATGTATATAAAATCATGAATTTGGATACAATTAGATTCATGTGAAAGAGCTGAAAGTAGATATATGTGGAATTATAATATATAAGGCTGATATATCAGTGCAATGTGCTCAAACCAGATGCTAATCATATAATGTCCCTCTCAATCGGTTTTCCATCAGCTTGTCATTTGTTCCTGATCAATAGGAGTTATTTGATGCACAAAAAAATGCTTTGCATCAAAGAACAGCAGCCTGCAGGCAAGAAAGGACTACACTGATTACCATTATTGATTCAGCCCTGCCTCATTTGAAGCATGATATATTCCAAAGGTATCAGTTAATTATTCAAGCACTCAAAACTCCCTCATTAGCTGCAGTTTTACCCGCTAATCTTTCACTGGTAACTTAATGGGGAGAGTAGTGGAAGACAGGGGGAGGAGTTAGGCAATTGGGATCCATTAAAATGATTAATTATAGATAAGAGGGGTACCATTTGTTTAGATTTGTTTTCATGCGGCTGGAAGGTGGAGGAGACAAATCATTCAGACATTAGCCTGACATTTAATCCCAGTCAAATTGGCCTGCTTTGGGAAATAAAACTGCAGATGAAGCTGCTGGCATTGTTCCAAGAGTGAGGCAACACACTTAGTAGATTAAGCGAAATGTGTTGCGCTTTACTCGAGAAGATGACAAATCAATGTGCCTCTTTTAACTGTAATTGGCAAAATGCACCACATTTTTATCCAAACAAGAACAATTATGCAAATAAGAGACAACAACAAAAATCTCTGATGGAGGGTTGACTATTAGCTACATTCACAGAAGTAATCATTCAGCAACTGTCTATGTAGTGCAGTGTGTGGCACAGTGCCAATAATCTGCCAGACTGAAGACACATTCTCATTTGACAGTGAGCGAACTATACCATAGTGATTGACAGACAAACAGACAACAAGCACAGACGGCTGTTTTAGATCGCTGTCATGCTACAGAGTTTACACAGTGCAGGTGCATTCTGGGCTTTGATTGATCTTGAAAACAATGAGTATGTTCACACATGTCACCATGTTCTTTGTTGTATGAGGTAGATGTTTGTAGGCAAATTGTTTCTGCAGCAGCATCAAATGTAGGGCTTTTAATCTACAAATACACCTTTTATTTCTCACAGATGATCACAGTTTGGATTAAAAGATGATCTGATTAGAATTTGGTAGTCAACCGTCAAAGTTTGTTCCATTCTTGTGAAATGTATTTTTGTGACAAACGTAGACTTGAACTAAAGGAAAAGCTGAAGTTTGGAGGTCAAATCAGTCAATGTTATCTAATGTCTGTCCCATTATCCTAAACACAATATTTCTCGGTAACACTTTACAATAAGGTACACAAAATGTGCTTAGTTACTGAGTAGTGAATAAGGAACGACTAGATAGTTAATGGTTAGTTAATGAGGAGTTCCTCAGTGACTGCGATTGAAGAACTGATGGTTAGTTACTGGTAAACAGACTGGGGGGTACTGTATTAATGAATGATTAATGAATGGTTAGTTAATTAGTTACTTTGATTGAAGAACTGATGGTTAGTTACTGGTAAACAGACTGGGGGGTACGGAGTTTCCTGTCTTCTGTTTTTGTAGTGATGTGACGTGCAACATGGATGTTAAATGACCTTGTGTGTTTAATGTCCTCAGGTATGTTTGTATTATATTTGATTACTCAAAGATACCGTATTTTCCGGACTATAAATCGCCTTTTTTTTTACCTGTCTGGCTTGATCCTGCGACTATACTCCGAAGCGATTTATTTATTGAATTTCGTCTAACTGCGCCGTTCAAACTCCGGCCAATAGATGGCCCAATATACAATCGTGACAACTGAAAACTGCTGTACCACCGAAGAAGAATAAAGTCACGTAACTTTCCAGGATGTCGTGCGATGAATCGACACAGCATGGGCTTCAGTGACGACCGACACCATCCTGTCGGGATTCAGAAAGGTCTAATCGGAGCTGATTCTGATGGAGAGTCTGAGCACAGCCCGGAGCAGGACACGCTGCTTCATCGACCGGAGTTGGCGGAAGTGTTTAACAGCGACTGTATAAATACAGTGAGAATTCCAAGTTATTATGTGCTGTAGCTCATTGTGTGGATTATTTTGTTTATTCAGCTCAGTCAGTCGGGCAGTTAATAACAGTGTGCCATGTCTGTATTGTGTTTACAGTTTCACCAATTCATTAAACTTCCGTAAAGTTGACATCTGTGCTGGAGTTTCTTTGAAAGTGTTTAACTGGATGGATAGCCTACATCGAAGCGACTTATGGTGTTTTTCTCTTAACGACACGTATTTTGACAAGAGCGACTTGTACTCTGGTGCGATTTGTAGTCCGGAAAATACGGTAATGTTATCTTGGCAATTTCATAGTTATTTTGCAATTCTGTAATGTGTATATCAGTGGCGAACCGTCAGGGCCTTCAAGGTATTCAGAGAATACCCTGGAACACTCAGATAAAACAAACTAAAAATTGATTTAATTATATAAATAAAATGTAATCAAATGTATATAAAATGAATAAATGAGAATGGTATCTGTGTTGTTGATCTGTAATATTACAGTGTTACATTGATTTGTTTGTCCTTCTCGGACCATGCACTACGCATTCCAGTGGTTTTGTGTTAGAAAAGAAAGCAACCAATCAGATCTTGTTCTGGGTCTCTGGGTAGAATATCCTTCAACCAAGGTATTCTACATCCTTGATCGAATGCCCTGGCCGTTGCACTGAATGAGAGCGTACGTTTGGACTGACAGTTTGATCAACCAATCATATATTGATTTGTAGCCAATGGGCGTATTCTTTCAGAGTTCCCCTCGGTTCCAGGGTACTCTAAGGCCCGCTAGTTAACTGGCTCGAGACAGAGGATCTAGATGAATGCGACAAAGCAATTCATGCCGTTTTATTGTTTTTAACGTTGAAATGACAAGTGCAACAGGTGAAGATGAAGTTGTTGCGGAATTGTTGTGAGTACCCTTTTCAAGACGACAATTGAAGGCGGCGGCGGGGGGTGTGTGTGTCTACAGAAGGTCCAGTTGTGATAGATCGCCACTGGTGTATGTATGTGGTGATATGACGTGCAACGTGGATGTTAAAGGACATTATTAGGACATATTTTCTCCCGGGTCGCTGAGGGTGATGGCGTTGTTTGTTCGCCGCTCCTCCGCCCAAAATCTTGTTCTTTAGTCCAGATCAGAACCTCTCCTGTCTGGCTCTCTACTTTTTAAACGTCAGTCATCAGCAAACATAGCAGCATCTTTCTATCGAATCGACACAGATCTTTGTGTTGTCATCTCCTACCTGCTGGCTCTTTCCTGCTCACCGGTCCCTAGCCCGCTAGCTAGCTAGCATTATCGGACCTAACAGGCTGCTACCTAGATGTTCCTCGGCTCCCCGAAGTCTTTTCTGTCTCCACCCTGACTCCACCCTAACTCCACCCTAACTCCGCGGCTTATCTGGGTCTTCCCATCCCGCTACGATCAGCCGGCTTCCCCGCTGACATCGTCCAAAAGCAAAAACGCACAATAACCTACAGAAATCTCAAATCCATCTCACCTTCAACAATCACTGCCTCCATTACCTGCAAGATGTCCGTCTCCCCCCCCCCCCACTTTCTGAAAACCCATCTGAACTTGTGGACCATTATAACAGCACCCTCTCCTTCTGTCTCAATGAACTGGCGCCCACAAAAACAAAAAATGTCTCTTTCATACACTCCGCCCCCTGGTATACCCCCGAACTCCGCCAAATGAAATCAAGGAAACGTCAACTTGAACGCCAACACAAGAAAACCACACTAACAGTCCATCTTCAAATCTACAAAGACTATCTCCAGCAGTACAGTAATGCACTCAAAGCAGCCCGGTCTAATTACTACTCACAACTACTACCCTCAGATCTGGATCAGTTCCCCCCTCTCTCAAACTGGCTGCTGTCACACCCATTCTCAAAAGACCTGGACTCACACCTGACATCATGTCCAACTTCCGGCCCATCTCAAATCTCCCCTTTCTGTCAAAAATACTTGAATGTGTCATTGCCTCACAACTAAAATCCCACCTCAGCTCCAATGACCTCTTTGAGCCATTTCAATCCGGTTTCCGATCAAAACACAGCACTGAAACAGCTCTTCTGAAAATCACAAACGACCTCCTCCT